TTAGGCTAGCTTGCTTCCTTCAGAACTTAACTTCAGCCACACCTTCAGATTGCGTGATAGTAACTATGGTAATTAATGATTAAAATTCATGAATAATTTCCTCCTAACATCCACCAAGTGCCCAATACCATTGTAAAATATTTGTTTATTTCAATCTTTTATTTTCATTTCATTGTTAGGTTCAGCAGATAATTTGACAAAGGTCTCGGTCAACTGGTCCACTCAGTAAATGGCCATCGGACACAGAAACACTAACTCGTTTCCCAAATCAGCCAATTTTAACCTGGATCATGTGATCCTTCCAGGTATCATGATTCTGAAGATGTTCAGTGAGTTCGGGAGAGTCTACTCAGATCTTCTCCTGTGAACCACAAGACCAACAGCTGGACTTATTTTAAAGAAGCTCACCACCAACATAAACCGCCTCCTTTCCTAATGGTAGCGTAACACTGTCGGTGTGGGAGCTGAAGTCTGATCTCACTCTCTTGCACTGACCACTCTTCCTTTTCAGTTTTGAGTTGGTTGAATAATAAGAACTTTCTATCCCTGTTTATTTTTCTGTGTCACTGTGTCATAGAGCATTCATCCATGCGAAGTAAAACTTTATACCAGAGTGGATGGTTAAATTTATTATTATTATTATTTTTTTGAGTAAATAAATGCTCCAGTATTCTAAAAATTAAAAACGCGGTGTAAGTCAGGTCCGCCACGCCAACAAGGCGTTCTCAAGCACAATTCGGTATTTTGGTGAGCGGCGCAGCCCGGCACAAGTATCCCCCCTTCCTATCTCAGCTCGTAAGTCATAGGGAGGGAGGAGAGAAGGCGTGGAGTAGGTTTAACACAGCCGAGACCTGTATAGACCAATAACATAAGCTCCTCTCCTCACCTTTAAATCCGCCACCAGCAAAGCACACTACAATTTTCGTGCAGTAGTCAAAGAGATCAAGAGATGTCTGAAGACAGCAATGCCACACAATGGCGACAGAAGGCAGCCCCTCAACAAGTGTCGCTGTAAGTGCTGCAGAGGGTGTCCTCCACACTGTCTCATATAAAAGCGTTGATGGATTTGGTGTGTGTAATGTTGGATCCACTGTTAAGACAAACACCTTTTTCCACAAATAAAGACACTCACATAAAGTTGCATTTAATTTTTTTTATATAAACCCAACATGACAAAGGTGGGTTGTGTACACAGATCGCTACATAAATTCCAATAATGGCATTAAAATTGGAACCATCTGTGCGTAAAGGACGCATCGCACTCCATGGCCTGGCTCTTTCATTCATAGATGTTGGCATATAAAATAGATTTGGCTCACAAAACTGAATATTATAATATTCGTATGTGGGCCTGATATTGGGCCAGATCAGGCTCAAAAGTATTGAAAAATAGTGTAAGTGAAAAAATAAAAAGTGAAGTGAAAAAATAAGATTTGAACCTGAAAAAAATAAAATGGTACCTGAAAGTCTTGAATTTCAAAATTGAACTTTGAAAAATCCCAGAATGCATGAAAAAAATCTGTTCAAATGTAACTTTGATTCTGTTTTTTTAATACTTTTGAATAAATTACTCATTTCTATTTTTCACTTCAATATATATTTCGATCTTGGAGTACTTTTTTTTTCGATTGAATTTTATTTATTTATTTATTTCAGATTCAGATCTTATTTTTACGGATTCAAAAAAAAAATTTCGGTTTCAGATTTTTTTTTTTCAGATCCAGATTTTTTTTTTTCAGATTCGACTTGAAAAGTTTCAGGTTCACTTTTGAGCCTGTTTTTCCGTGGGGGCAGGCCTCGACTGAGAGGGGCGTGGTCTGCCATGAGTGACAGCCCCCCCCCCCCCCCCACACACACACACACATACGCGCGCGTGACGTCATCATCCTGCGTTTAGCGACAGGAAGTGGCACTCTCGGCGTGCGTTAACATCATGGGCTGTGTCCGAAATGGCATACTGCCTACTATCTACTTACCTACTCAAGCAGTAGCTACTGCCTACTGACTACTCAAAGATGATTTGAGTATGCCGCGGCTGCCCGAGCGTTTACACACATACATACTAAATACCCCAGAATGCATTTCGTGTCGGCCGGAAACAGTGCCGGGAAAATTTAAATAGTCCTACCGCACGCTTCAAAAACGACTGCATACCGGACAGACTGTATAAATTCAATCAGAGAAAGTAAGTGTTTACATCACTTTTATGAGCCCAGTTGTTTGAAAAGCGGCTGTTTGTAAATTTGTCTCGGCGTTTTCGGAGACTGAAGCGTCCACTTGGTGGGTGTTTGCGTCTACATGCGGTAAATACTGGGCAGCAGCAGCTCCCCCTTCACGTTTCCAAATTATTGCGAAGTGTTTTCATAATCAACTGCGACTCAAACTAAGCGGCAGTGGATTCATAAAAATTACACAAACATCTGTGTATCCATGGTGATAACGCTATACACCACCTGCTGGGCGTGTGATGAGCAGCAGAGGGCTGCAAAATGACCAACACACAACATAATTATTATGACCTTGTTCGGTTATTCCTTGGCAAATACATCATTTCCCGACTACATCTCATGTACAATGATAATTTCAAAAACCATCGGGTCGTTCTGCCTGGTGTAGGCTGACAACCATGGAGCGCCGCCATGCAAGGAGACGAAGGCGTCTTTTCTTCAGGGCAGCTATGTACTTCCTGATGGATTTTCAACCACAAGTAAGAATTAGTAAAGCTCACATACATTGTCAACTGGAAACTCCCCCGTTTGTATATTCTGAACCATGTACTCTCTACAAATAATAATTTTTATTAATCAGAGGTCTGTGCTTAATATGAGTGACCACTTTGATGATGCATTCAGAGATGAGAAGATGCTCAAACCTGATGTAATAAATACATCTTTAATAGACACTTAAATAAATAAAGTCAATTCATACAAATAGTTAAAAACATTACCTACAATCTTAATTTAAAATACAAATAAATCTGGTAAAAAGATTAAAAAATACAGTATATTATTGCAATCACATGCCACCAATGTTTTTCAGCTTTGGGAAAGAGGGCCATATTGCCAGATAAACCATGATGTCCCTCTGGTACGCCTGTACTTTGAGGGGGGGGACCTGCGTAAGGACTTCAGGCTGACCAGGCCCTCCCTGGAGCACCTCATCCACCTTCTCCAAGGGGACCATTATCATGGATGGGGGAAGGCACTTGAGGTGCTTGTTTTTCTTTACTGGCTGGCCTGTGGCACATCATATCGGGTCGTGTCAGAGGCCTTTGACATCCCTCGTTCAACGTGCCACGATATGGTCCACCGGGTCGGCAGCGACATCCAACAAGTTTTCAGGAGATTCATCCGTTTGCCTAACAGGGCTGAGTTGGAGGAAATTGGGGCTGGGTTCCAGCAGTTGGCTGGTCACCCAGCTTTCTGCAGAGTGGCAGGAAGTATCGATGGATGTCATGTCCGCATTGTGCCCCCTGGACAGTTTGGAGCAGACTTTTTTAATAGAAAACTGTTCCACTCTGTCCAGTTTCAGGCCATTGTGGACCACAAAGGACGCTTCCTAGACGTGCACGTTTCCCTGGCTCTGTGCATGATTCGCGGGTCCTCAGGTGCAGTCCTGTGTACGTGCACCAGCTGTACCCTCCTCCAGGATGGTGCCTATTAGGGGATGGGGGTTATCCCTGCATTTCCCAACCACTCACCCTTATCACCCCATTCAGGGAGCCTTTGAGGAACCCCACCGAGGAGAGGTTCAATGCCAGGCATTCTCGGGCCAGGAGTGTGGTGGAGAGGGCATTTGGAGTCCTGAAAACCAGGTGGCGCTCCATATTTCTTAAGGCCCTGGAGGTGAAGGTTGACTTTGTTTCGGAGGTCATTGTGAACTGCCTTTTCCTCCACAACCTCTGCCTCGGGCACGGGGACATTTTGGAGCCAGAGGACGGTGAAGAGGTTGATGGGGATGATAACTGTCTGGCGGCAGCTCATGACCTGGCTCAACAGAGTGGGGATGCCTTCAGGGATCGGATGGCAGCAGCAATGTCAGTTCCAGAGGAGCAGATCCCTGCACTGAGGGAGCATGATTATTTATGAGCATTATAATAGTAATAATAATAATAATAGTCATTGTGAACAGTTAATGTTATTGTAAGTTATATTGTAGTTGTAAATAGTTAGTATTATAGTATATAGTTAGTATAAGGATGATTTACAGTGCAATCTTTGAAGACTGCAAGTCTTCATGATTCTGTAAAGGTTTTTGCTACTTCCTATTATTGGTTCTTTATGAGGATTTATTCTTGATTTTTTGAAAAGGAGGATATGTTAGTTTTATGATTTGTTCTATGATTTTATGAAATTAGTATCTTATTTTGTATTTTTTGTATACGTAAAAATTGTTGGGTAGCCTAATATGTGCATAAGCTTTTGCTTTGGCCTGTGCCTTTTCAGTCACTTTCTTTATGATATTGTTTGTAAACGTAAATATTAAGTTGTATTGTGTCTGTGACTGAATAAAATCTTCACTCACTCTTCTTATTCAATTATACTTACTTTATTGTAGTTATCATACTATTTATAGTTATACTAATAGTATACTAATTATACTATTATATTTATACTTTGTTAGTATTATACTTATGGTACTAATGGTTAGTATTATACTTACCTATCTATAGTAAGAAAGTGGTCTCTTGCATGTGAAAAGATGGATGTGGAGCTATTTTTGCACAAAAGAAGCATGTTTACACTAATCATAGGTATGTGGGTGATTACATAACTGCTTTCAAATAAATACTATGCCATTCCTGCCTCTATTCCTTTATGTACCGTGCAAATATGTTAAGATTAGTCACGGAACAAGAACAATCTTTTAATTTTATAACTATAACAAAACCATGAAGCAACAAACTAAAACTTTACAAAGAATAGGTGACCAAGATAATACAATAATTTGTGAACTTAAAACTTGGTCTGTAAAATAAACATAAATATCAAATGAACACATTATTTAGAATTAAAAAGTCTTTCAATTAACTCCATCCACCTCTCTTCTCTCACTCTACTCTCCCTCTCTCTTTCCTCTCTCTCTCTCCTTTCTTTTATTGCTCTTCTGTCCATCCACTCTCTCCACTCACGCTCTCTTCTATCTGTATTCCTTCTTTCCTCTTCTCTCCACTCTCTCTCTCTCCTTACCCATCTTTCTTCCATCTCTCTCTTTTCCTGCCTCTCCCTCTCCTCTGCCCGACGTTCCCGCTCCTCTGCCTGCCGAATCCTTTCATCCTCCCTCTCCTCAAACTCTTTAACCCACTCCTCAAACCACTCTCTGCTCCGTGAGTCGCTTGTTCTCCTCACTCTCACAGGAGGAGACTCAGAAGGGGGATTTGGAGGAGAGGCCACTGCTGCTGGTGTAATGGATGAGGTGATGAGGTTGGGCGGTGATATGGTGGGACGGTCCCTCATCACCTCATCCATGATGTTAAACCATTTCCAGTTTGCAGCAGTGGCCTCTCCTCCCTCTGTGCTGACCCCCGTTGGTGGTGCCTTGAGAACCTGGCAAATGACACACACACAAAGATAATCTGATAACATAGACCACTCTCACACTGACTGTTTGAACTCGGACATAGTCAGATTATATAGTAAAATTTAAAAACATAAGCATTCACTGTATTGATGCGAAACATAAATACTGAAGTGTTTGTCACACCTCCACCTACTGTTGAAGTTAATTCAAACTTCCCCGAGTCCGTTGATGGAGACTGGAACAGAGGATTCACTGAGGCAAAAAGGTGTCTTCAACAAACCTTTTATTTCGGCACATCAAATAACACAAGATATCTTGGAGAACACAACATCAACCCAATGGTATCTCTGAGGTGGTCTGATTACTATTTTTCAGTAGTTAATATTTATACCCTAGGAGGCGTCTCATCATCTTTTTGGGCGGAGAGTTTACATAACCAGCAGCCCCCAGTGTTTCTCTATGGACAAACAAGCACGTATTGTTCTATTTTTTTTTTACCTGACCGAAACCGTGGTTTCAGGAAAGTTGACCTTGGATGCATCCAGCGCCCGTCTCCCTTTATCATATTTGCGTCATGTATTCCAAGCTTTCACTGAGTTCCCACTGGGCAGACTGCTGGGCATGCAAACCCCCCCTTTACAACTCCCCATCTTCCCAGGACAGAGTGATCTTCCTCCCTCGTCCTGTTGTTCACATCTCTGACTAGCACCTGCACATCTGTTTATGAAAGGCACATCATTATCTAAGGCATATGTCAGGGCCATAGAGCACTTTTATAAGGAACACTTTTAATGAATGGCTGTGATGATTATAAAGCACACTTTTTAATAAATGACTGTTAAGGCAGAACAGTTTAAAACCATACTTACCAACCCTTGGCACTTCTAGGCATAAGCTAAAATCCTTCTATACTGAAAGTCTCTGTTCTATACATTGTGACACAGTGGTCAATTGCCCCCGTGTTAGCATTAAACCTTCTAATCTGACTCATCAGTACATGTCCGCGATGAGCACACAAAATAATGTTAACACAATAAGAAAACAGTTAATTACCTGAAACAATGATTAAATGATTGTCATCAATGATTAAATGATTAGCGTGAACATGTGATGGTTAAATGATTAGCATGAACCTGTGAGTTCCCACAAATTCCCCCTTTTGATCTCTTCAAAGAGATCACCTTCAATGAGCGCATCAACAGTGCCAGGAGTATAAATTTAACCATCAGTATAAATTTAACCATCAGTACTTCTGCTATGACTAGGTAAACATTACTTTTGTTCGCATGCAGGGCGGCATCCAGGTCGGGGTCTACCACACTGAGGGACAGGTTAGTATCAAGCTGTGGGCTGGGGATTAGAGGAGGAGATGGAAAACAACCGTGAGTACTTTGATTGGATACACATCAAATCTATCAACCCAACATTCAGAAGGAGTGGGAACCATGACCTTTAAGTAAGTGAAATTGACAGACACTACTGACACCCCCTTTTTGGCTGTCATTCCCCCCCCGGGGCGTGTAAGATACATCATACGGTATGGGACCTTCTGCTTGTCGCCAATTGTTACCATCTCCGAGGGAGGGCCAACTTGCACTGGGGCCGTAGCATTACCAGAGATTGATGGGCGGGCCGAATAAGCATCCTAACCGCGAATGGGACGTGAGAGGTATGTTGCATCGTGTTTTGTGGCATTTGTAGGCAACTGTGGGAACTCCCTAGTCAGCCCTAAAATTATAAGCAGCAAACCTATGCTAAATAAGGCTAAAGCGATCAACCATGGCCATGAGCCAAATTTAGGACGAGGGATCCTCATTTTGTTTCTGCAAAATTCAACCCACAAAAGAACATCGAGCAATACAATGTAAGTTAATAACCAGATAAATGCCGAAATAAAAGGGTGTGGAACATACAGTGTGGAGCATACAGGTAAAAAATCTTCTCGTCTTGTACGACCTGACAGATGATCCGTCCGTGGAGGTCGCCCGGACAAGCAGCGTAGCGTCGTTGTCTACTGGAGCAGGTGTCAGCTGACGTCCTGCGGGATGTTGTCGTCTTTCTTCAGGCGGTCAGGGGTAGACTACCCTGTGCCTTTTTCGTTGCAGGGATTATTCTGCCCTGTGTCTTTTCTGGAGGTGTGTGGCTCTTTGGTTTGGTTTCCTGCTGCAGCTGCTGCAAGATCCTGCCGCACTTCCTTCAGGGAGCGTTGAGGTGTTACAGCTGGGGCGCACTGAGTGAGGTGGAACCAGGTGTCTCCTTTCCTGTCCAGCCGGACTGCGTGGGAGGTTCTCTCGGTCACCTGAAATGGTCCTGTCCACCTAGGCTCGCTCCACTTTCTCTTGATGACCCGAAGGAGGACCCAGTCAGTGATGGGTAGGTCACCGTCTTTGGTGCCGTCTTTGCTGTCTCGCACCTGCTTAGCAAATTCAGAGAGAACAGATTGCAGTTGTACATAATAATCTTTCTGGTGCATGTGAGAGGGAGGAGGGTCAGTGTTTTGCAGGGCTCGCTCTGGCCCTGGAAAAGGTCGACCACGTTCGAGCTCGAATGGGGTGTGTCCAGTTGTCCTGTTTACTGAGGATCGGATGGACATGAGGGCGAGCGGTAGAGCATCCACCCAGTTCAGCCCTGTATGGGCACAAATCTTTGACAGCCTGTTCTTGACTGTCTGGTTCATCCTCTCAACCTTACCCTGAGATTGAGGATGGTACACGGACCCAAAACCATGTTTAAGTCCCAACATGGCCTCCACGTACTGGAGGTCCTGGTTCTTGAAGTGTGACCCATTGTCCGACCTGATCTTTTCTGGGAAGCCATGCTGTGGGATGTAATAGTTGATGAGACACTTAACTACTGATTTGCTGTCCTCTCTTTTCACTGGCCATGCTTCTGGCCATCCTGTAAATGCATCAACACACATCAAAACATACCTGTACCCTCGGACTGAGTTAACCATATCTGTAAAATCAATGATGATTTCTTTCCCTGGACGTGTGTTTAGTTGGAACTTACCCACCCCGGGTTTGTATGTAGGTCTGGTGTTGTGGTGTGTGCAAACAGTGCAGTGTCTTACCCACTCCTTTAGCATGTCATGTAGGAAGGAGTGCCACCATTCTTTGAGGTCCACTTTCATCTGGGAGATGCCTGCATGGCCAACTCCATGTGCTTCTGAGAAGATACTGTCTTTGAGCCCAGGTGGCAGAACCAACCTTCCATCTGGGGATCTCCAGGTCCCTTCCGATAGGACTGCGCCTCTGAGTTTCCACACTGTCTTCTCTTCAGGTGAGGCTAGGTCCTGTTCTTTTGAGATTTCTGTAAGGGACAGTTTTGTCATTTGTGTCTCTGTGTCTGGTCTTACCAACAGGAGCTTCTCATGATATCCTGCGGCTGCTTTGGCTGCAGAGTCTGCTGCTTGGTTGCCCATGGCAACTCTGGATCCGCTGTTGTCGTGTCCTTTGCATTTGATGATGGCTACCTTCTGGGGAAACCACAGTGCTTTTGCAAGCTCTTTCATTTCATCCATGTGTTTAATGGGTTCTTGTTTTGCAGTTAGGTAGCCCGCTCTCATCCATTGTCCTAGGTCTACTTGTGCTGCGTGTACTGCATAGGCTGAGTCAGTGTAAATGTTAATGTCTTGGTCTTTACCTGCTTTCAGGGCTTCAATCACTGCCACGACTTCTGCTCTCTGGGCTGACTGTGGTCCATTGAGCTTTTGTGCTGTTACCGTCTTGAGTCCGTCTGGTGTTTCTTCTATCACTGAGAATCCTGCTCTGAGTCCCTCCTTCTCATCTCTGTAGCAGCATCCGTCTGTGTATAGGTTTCTGGCCCCTGGGATGGGCTCCGACTGGAGGTCTTCTCTGGCTTTTTCTTCTTTTTCAACCCTGTGGGCACACTCATGCAACACACCTTCCCCCAAACGCTCAGCCATGTTAACACCTTCATGAGTGAATAGCAAGTTTGGGGCTTCGAGAATGCGAGCGAGTTTTTGCTGTCTTGTGGAGGACATCGTAAAAGTTTGCGAGTTCACATAAGCTACAACGCTGTGTGATGTCAAGATGTGAAGTGTGTGTCCCATAACTATGTGTGCGCTTTTGTTGATGAGTTTGGCAACACCTGCAGCATGTCTTGTGCACGTTGGTTGACGTTTTTCTGTGGGGTCAAGGATGACACTGAGATACATCAGTACCGTTCTCTCTCCCCCTTTTTTCTGGAACAGAATACCGTTAGCAACAGATTCTGTTTCAGAAACATCCAAAAAGAACGGGCGCGCGTAGTCGGGGAGGGCCAATTCGGCGGACGCAGCGAGTTCTTGTTTGAGTTTGATAAAAGCTTCTTCCGAGTTGCGGGACCATGTCAGCTTCGCATTCAGATTTCTCATACCTGCAGAGGTGACCATGGCTCTCAGCGGAGATGTGAGAGTGGAAAAATCAGGTATGTACTGCCTGCTGTAACCCACCAGACCGAGAAACGACAGCATAGCTTTGACAGTGTCAGGCTTGGTGTGGTGCAGAATGGATGTGCGGTGGGCGGGGGACAATGAGGCCCCCTTTTGTGACAGTAGTCTGCCGAGGAAAGAAACTTGTTTCCGCGCGATTTGCAACTTAGGTTGACTGACCTTGAACCCGTGGCGGGCCAGGAGTAGGAGCAGGGCCCGTGTGGCCTGCAGGCAGGACTCGGCTGTGGTGGACGCAATGAGCAGGTCGTCGACATATTGAATCACTGTGGTGCCATCAGGCAGCTGCAGGTCAGCCAAACTCTCTTTCAGAACCTGGTTAAAGATGCCAGGGGAGAGGGCGAATCCCTGTGGGAGGCGGGTGTAACGGAGTCTGCGACGCTGGTAGGTGAACGAAAAGATGTCCCGAATGTTCTCATGTAAAGGGAGACAGAAAAAAGCGTTAGCAAGATCAATACATGTGAACCATGCTTGTTCGGGAGACAGATTGTTCAGAGCAACATATGGGTTTGGCACCGGGACCGTATTGGTCCCTAGAATCTGATTGATGGCTCTGAGGTCATGGGCCATACGGTACTGACCGGTGCCCTTCTTTTCAATCGGTAGAATGGGTGTGTTCCAGCAGGAGTTGGAGGGTTCGAGGACACCAGAGTCTAACAGGCCTTCTATGGTGTCCTGAATGCCCAATTCTGCCTCTCTTTTGTGAGGGTACTGTGGCACCCAGACCGGAGAGTCAGTATTCAGCTGGAATGAGATAGGTTTACAGTGGATCAATCCGACATCGGTTGGACCCTCGGCCCACAATGAGACTGGGAGGGAGGAGATAAGCTCCTGTGCTTTTGGATGATCAGATTTTTCTCTACCATGGTCTCTAGGTATGAGTTCATGTGTGCATAAAGCAGAGTCAGTGGTAGTACTCACAATTCTGAACATTTTCAGGGACGGAGAGCGGAGCACGCCAGGCAGGCCGGAGGAAGACCAGTCTGAGGCTAAGACTGCTGCTTTGACCATGGGGTCCAATTCGCGAGCCTCATGTCCCGGATGGAGAGCCAGCGAAATGTGGGGGAAAGCAGTCTCAGACATATTATACCAGGACTGTTGCTCTGTTGTGAGATTAACCATTGCCGCAACCCCCTGTTGTCCCACCAAAATGTCACCAGAATGTAGCTGCCAGGTCTTACCTTCTAGCTGATTTTGGAATTCCTCTAGGTAACATTCATTACCCTCCCAGTCGTAGAACAGAGTCAGATGGAGCAGGTCAGGTGGAGCCATGTAGGGGTGGACGCTGAGGATCCAGGGTTTCCAATGGAGATAACATGAGTAGAGCCCAGTTTGTGATGGCTCCAACAGGGCCCAGAAAATGTCTGCAAATCTAGGTTCAGTGTCTCTGAGGAGGTACTGGTGTGTGTCCCCAATCCCTTGTGCACATAGAACTTCAGTCCCATCCGGGAACGTGACAGTGAGGCCCTGCTGACCGCAGAGGATCTGTGCATTGAGTCTCGAGAGTAGGTCCCTACCCAGGAGATTGACTGGAACACTGGGAGACACTAGATAGGGGTGTTGTAATTTCTGTCCCGCTACGTGTGTGGGGAGGGGGATGGTAAATGACAGAATCTGACTTACCCCAGAGAAACCCACCACGCTCATCGTCCGTCGAGACAGAGGCCCAATGTCCTGATTAACCGTAGATCTGGTAGCCCCTGTGTCAACGAGAAAGGGCAGAGCGTGGTCCCGGACCGTCATGGACAGCATGGGCTCTGCCGTTACCCCGCTGTCCGAGTCGCTCTGTGGGGCGTGTCATTGAGGATACTGGTAGGCGTCCTGAGCCTCCCAGGTCTGGTCCCAGGCAGTGACTGCGACTGGAAACTGGTGGGCCTGCTGCTGCTGCTGTTGCTGCTGCTGCTGCCGTGGGGGTGGTCCTCCCTGTCTCAGCGGAGGTGGTCCACGGGCCATGCCACGCATCGGGTAGCTGTGTTGCTGCGGAGGGTTTGGTGGATAGTTCGGACATTCACGCCACCAGTGTCCATTCATGCCGCAGGAGTGGCAGGCGTTGTTGCGTGTAGGTGCTGTTTGTGCCTGATTCCAGTAACCGCCCTGGCGGGGAGGGCCGTTGTTACGAAATCTCCTGCTGCCCTGGAAACCTCCTCCCCTGTAGGGTCCACCAGACCTCGCTCCACGTCCTCCGCCCCACGAACCCTGAGATTGATCTGTGGGAGGAGAATAGGGAGAACAATCTGCCCGCTGGGGCACTGGGTACATGTCAGGTGAAATCTGTGGGTCGTTAGAGGCAGCGGCAATCATAATTTTATCTGTATTACGATCTTTCTTACCCTCAGTGATATTTCTCCGAGCCTGGGTGAGCTGCAGCTTCATAAGTTGTCTCTGCATGTCTTTGTCATCATCACCTTCTTTGTCAGCTCTGTCTTTCGCTCTCTGTAGGTGGTGTTTGAGATGTCGTTCCCACACCAGGCAGGTTGAGCCCGGAAGGTCTGGGCTGTTTTCCAAGTGTTCTCTAACGTCTGCTGGAACACCTTTAATTACAGCATCTCTAAACCAATGTTCCTGGCCCTTACTGGGGTGAACCCCCGTTTATTTGGACCATTGTTCCTTGCACTGGGCTAGATACTCGCTAGGAGAGAGACTTTTGTCCCATGAGAACTTGGGGATCATTGGACCGTTGGGAAGCGGGTATTTGGAACGGAGCTCGTTACGCAGAGCCCTAATTACTGTGACTAGCTGCCTGTCATCATTGCAGGAAATGGTGCCTGCACAGGTTTCGATGTCCCTGAGTTCGGTAGGGGTGACACAGAGCACGAGAATAGCCCTGAAATCGCCGAGGGCTAGATCTTGGCCTTTAGTCAGGCAGTCCAATTTGTCCAGCCATAAGTTGCCTCCCTCAGAGATGGGGGGCAGCTTATCACTGATGGTTTGTGTATCGCTAACAGCGAATGGTTTATAGATTTTGTGTCCACCACTGGATTCAACCAGAGGGAAAGCGGAGGAGCTGTGGTGTGCTGTAGCTGCGTCTGGATATGCTGGAGGTAACATGGCTTTTGAGCGTGTGAAGTGATGGTGGCTGAGAGGTGCACTCACCCTTTTTTCGTTCGTCATACGCTGCTGTTCCTCCAGGGTGGCAGTGGGTCGGGCCATGGCTTCACTGGCGTCCGTGTTATCCGTATAGTTGACGGTGGAGCCTCTGGTGGTCCTCTGCATCTCATCTCTCATGGTGCTGAGCATTTCGTCTCTCACTTCCTGTCTGAGTTCCTCCTCCACTCTGCTGCGCATGAGCTCTGCACCTGTAACATCTAGGGTGTCTTGCAGTATTTTATTGAGAGTGCTCTTGGTAGGATTGGGGTCATATGTACCTCTTACCGTGAGTTGGGCTGTGCAGGGCAAACTCTGTGGACTCTGTGAGCCTCTGTTCGGGGACGGTATCACCGTCTTAACCTATCCCCTGGGGGTGGATCTCTGCTGTGGCTCAGGTGCGGGCAGTGAATCTGGTGTGGGCAAAGATTTAAATTGTAATTCTTTTTTAAACTCACTCAAAAAGCGGGCCTGACGGTCTCCGAATGGTGCATCGAGCTGGTCCTCCTCTTCCTCCTCCTCGCTGTCCTCGGCTTCAGAGTCGCTGTCTTCATCCATGTCTCTGTAGGTATTGTTGCCTTCTCTGTCCTCGTAGTCTGAGAGGTCGATGGTGGTGGTACCAGAAGTCCTAGAGGCCATGGATGGTGCCTTGTGTCCAGGAATGTGAGAAGTCAGGGAGGGGTCCGGCTGTTGAGGCATCATGGTGGGGGGTATGTCAATCTTCAGATGTCCTTCATTGATGTTGATCACTGGGTAGAGAGAAGTGCTCACAAAAGGATTAGTGGGTGAGAGTTTTTTTCTGTGAAAACCAGACTGAGCGGAGTGGTAAGGTGGGGGTCGAGGCGGAGCTTTGGGAGGCGGAGCTGTGGGAGGCGGAGCTGAGGGGTGGAGACCTGAGAAAGGATTCGTTCGTTCAGCGGTGGGAGGAGGCAGGATAGAGGGAGGGGTAGCTGGTGGAGGCGGAGCTGGGGTGGCACCCTTTATGTTGGTGGGTGTGTCCTTCTGTGTCTTACTGTGTGTGTGTGCTGATTTGAATAATCTCATGTCTGTATTTGGGGTGGGGGTAATCCCTGTCAAACCTTTCTCAGCTGCCTTTTTTACATTAGTAAGATGCTCTGTCCCTCTGTGGGCTACTCCCAACGTCTGCCACCTAGCAAGTCTTCTAAAATGCTTTTTTACGGCCTGTTTATATTTTCTGCGGAGCAAAATGCTGCCTAGCGCTGCTTTCTTCCTTGCTGCATCTCCTTTTGCTAGCTCTTCTTTCCCACGTACCCAGATGAGATCTCCTAGTGAGGATCTTTCATTTTCTCTCCCTTCGATAAGCTCTTGCAGCATATCAGCATACTTTTCCCTCCCTTTCGCTGTCACCACAACTCCATCTTCTTTCCCTATGCCCTTTAAGATCCACTCTGCCTGTAGAGATAACGGGCCCCACCCATCATCATCTACCTCACGATCAAATTCACCATCCATCCCAACAACAGCAACGTCTCTTTAATGGCCGGCTGGTTTGTATGACACTTCCGTTTCGGGCAACCAGCCTTATTGGAGGCCTTCACAAAGCCGGTCAGTTTGTATGACACGTTCGTTCCGAGCAACTGACCCTTTCAGTGCAGTACTGAGACACTTTGTGTGAGGTTTTCTCCAAGACACCACTTTGAGACAAGTTCAATTTTCAGCATATATGTGGTCATAACAGTCACAATTCACGCACAGGCTTCAATAATGTCACACAGCAGAGAGAAAGTTATTCTCCACTGAACTTTTTCTGTACGGCACAGCTCCTCGCACTAAATTCAACAATATCACACAGCAAAGACAAAGTCAGTCTATACTGACTTTTTGTGCGGCACAGCTCCTCGCTCGCACTAAATTCAACAATATCACACAGCAAAGACAAAGTCAGTCTGTACTGACTTTTTGTGCGGCACAGCTCCTCGCACTAATTTTAACAATCACGCAGCAGAGAGAAAGTCAGTCTCCACTGAATTTTTCTGTGCGGCATATCACCTCGCACAGAATTCAACAATCACGCAGCAGAGAGAAACTCAGTCTCTACTGAATTTTTCTGTGCGGCATATCACCTCGCACAGAATTCAACAATCACACAGCAGAGAGAAACTCAGTCTCTACTGAATTTTTCTGTGCGGCATATCACCTCGCACAGAATTCAACAATAACACAGCAGAGAGAAACTCAGTCTCTACTGAATTTTTCTGTGCGGCATATCACCTCGCACAGAATTCAACAATAACACAGCAGAGAGAAACTCAGTCTCTACTGAATTTTTCTGTGCGGCATATCACCTCGCACAGAATTCAACAATAACACAGCAGAGAGAAACTCAGTCTCCACTGAATTTTTCTGTGCGGCATATCACCTCGCACAGAATTCAACAATAACACACACTTCTTTTCGGGGGGCTCCAAGTCCCCGGGGTTTGCAACCCAGCTCAACTAGCGCCCCGTCGAGCCACTAGGGGGGTCCGCCACAACCCAGAGCGGTGGTCCTTATGACTCTTTACGCGGCCTTCACACAGGCTTCTCTTAAGTTTCACTTTTCATTTCACACATAGTTAATCTCTTTGTCAGAACACAGAATATCACAAGATGTACCAGTACAATATCATGAGCCTCGTAATAAATTTAGGATTCAGTATATACAGAGTTCAAGAGATCTTTGATTTAGAGTAACACAAATAGGCAGAAATTCTGTTAAAAAGGTTTTCTGCTTACCTTATTTTGTGGTCGACCAGATCTCTTTTCCTCTGATGCACTGAACAGTTTTCTCCAATTCAAAAGCTCTGTCAGAACTCCATCCCGGACGAGCCCCCAAAATTATTGAAGTTTGAATTAACTTCAATACTACCTTATACTTTTGCTTTAAGTTTTCCCATTTTTTGGGGGGAAAACTTGGGTCCACTTGGCCCTCCAGCCCATGCTCCTTGATGAAAGCCCTAAACAAGGATGACAAACAAGGGGCAATAAAAAGGGCATATGAACGTGGCAAGTGCCTACAAGCCACTCATATTATTCATATTATTTCTGCATTAGGCAGTAGCTTTTTTCCCATCTTGTAATAAACCCATAGCAACTCTCGTATTATGTTCTGTCGAGTGGTGGGGGGCGTTTGCGGCTCGTAGAATGCTGCTCTGATAACAATAAATCTAAAGGCCGACCTGGCCAACGTTTGTGTTCCGGTCGGCTCCAGTTGAAGCGTGCATTTACAATAAATAAATCCACGGCGCATGAACAAAAATTTCTTACTCAAAACCCTTTAGGGCAGCGTTCCTTCTTCCCGTGAACAGGGCTTCGTTCTGTCCCCGCCACCGGATCAGCCGCTCAGTGTCCTCACCTGTCCCTGAAGGAAAACACAGCAGTATTTATAATGCGACATCACGGGTCCACATTACCGTTTAGTTGCGGCTACGGCATACGCTAACGTGCTAACCAAATGGCAGGTTGACTGGTCGTCGAGCAGTGCATAAACTCAAACGTCAATACAACTATTATCTGCGCGGTTAAGTGCCACAATATAAAATTAAATAACTTACATTTATGAGCGCTTTTTTGCTCGTGCTTGACGCTGCTGCCGGCTGTCTCCATGTTGACTTTTGTTTTCTTGCGGCAGAAGTGGGGCAGAAGCAGTACGTGAAGCAAGCTCTGTTGCACACTCAGAAATCGAAGCCGATTGAGTTTACATCCGGGCATTTCTCGCATACACAAAATTCGCATACTGTACAGTGTGAACGCACTGCCTACTCAATTCAGAGGCGGGGTTAGTAGGAGTAGTAGGAGTAGTAGGCCATTTCGGACACAGCCATGGAGTAGCTGTAGTAGCATGCAGGTTTGTTTTCATTTTGCAATGGATCCGTATCGTCTTCATCCACCCGGACCAAGAGTCCCCAGAGCCCACAGAGCTGCTACCGTCACCAATTCTCAAGTAAGAATAGTTTTTTTAATATGATAGATCCTGAGAAGCTATCTGTAACATTACAATGTATTATGGGTTATTTTGTAATGAAAGCGTGGCGAGAACGCTACGGGCTCGTCACGCGATCCATGGATGTATTTCATGTCTGATGATGTTGTATTACCTTGCTTATTGTAAATCGCTCTGGATTAAATGCTTAAATTGTAAATGGATAACAATAAGGCTACTCCAATTTAGTAAAATTTGTTACACTAGCGTTATTTAATTCTTAGTTTTGTGTACCATAGAAACTCCCTGTGCAAGCTTGCTAAACTGTTAGTTTGGGTTGCTAATTTTGAATACTGGATGATGCATTTAAGCAATATTACAAGAGGGTCTACATTATCATGGTTATTGGGGCACTCAACAGCGTTGGTGTAATGGGGCGTCGCTCTAATCACAGATTTGGGGACTGTCCCTAAATCTAGATATTCTAGATATTGCCACTATGTCCCAGACATAGACATAATTAACAATCATGGACAATCATGGCCCTCTATGAACTGTAAGAATAAGGTCCAGAATCTTCTTTTCTTTTTTCTTTTTTTTTAATTTATAATGTTCCAATGGTAAGATGACTGCCCTGGACATTGAGAACTAGACTCCTGGTCTAAAAGATTATGATGATAACCTGCTCTACTGTATATGACAAGTGGCATGTAATGGGTAAAATGGAAATGAATCAATGTTATTTTCTGTTGTTTGACAGAATGCTGATGCAAATGGAAATGTGGCTTCAGTTGCTTCAGTTGCACAGAACTTGGTGAATATACTGAGTCCCCATGTGCAAGGTGCGGTGGATGAAGAAATGAACAGGTTTGAAATGCATTTTAATTTAATGACCGAAGTATTCCAATTCTGGTGCAAGATTCTTTGAAAATGGCAGATCTAGGTGCTATATCAATTTATACAAAGTTTCTATATACATTTTCTGATAAATTAATTGCATTCAATCATTACATTATTATATAAATAGCTAAATTTGTGGTCTCATTTTGGCAACTCACTTAACAACTTTGAACAAAGACAAACCTTTATGTAAATACTAACTAGACAATAAAAAGCTATATGTCAAAAACAAAATGATTTAATACAGATGTACTAAATCCTATCAGTATAAGCTATCCGACATTGTACTTGATTTCCACAATTTATATGTTGAACAACATCATTGTGATGTATGTTCATTCATAAATTAAATTGTGATAGAGTGAAGTATATTGTACTGAAGATATGCAGTATTAATTTGCCATGGCAACAACATTTTTCAAGTTATAACATCTCTATTAGTGTAAGACATATTATGTACTACATTTCAGGTGTGAATTTTATTTACAACTGTAAAGGTTGGTTGTACATTTGGCAACACAATAGTATACTGTTCATAATATCTAAGTTAAATTGAATTGTTTAATTTATTTACATGATACACATCTATTTACTCTGAAAGTTCTACTGATAAGTTTGAAAATTAGAGTCTGTAGAAACCCTGTGTCTTATGTAAAGCGGGTGCCTAGTCTAGTGACCATGGCGGTCATCTAATACAGTTCATGTTTTTTTCATGTGTTTTTATTTCTTGCATTTTATTATTATTGTGCAGATCCTTTGGTTTCCTCCCCAAGAGAGGCTCCTTCCTTGGGAGGAGAAAGATGACACCAAAGGCCACACCTCCCAAACCCTGGAAACCCTTCACTTTTTATTTGTACCTGATGAACCTGAACTCAGAGACAACCCCAACACCTGAAGGAGAGTTCAGGCTTGCGCAGGCTGGACTTGGAAAGAGGCTTATCAACATGTCTAACGACATGAGTCATGATCAGGTATTAACAAGATATAATTATATAATTTAGTACTTTATTGTAAACTGCAGCATGTAGTACAGTAAGACATTGAAGCTAAAAATATAGAATAAAAGTCCTTTGTATGGGCATTCCTGGGTATGGGCTTAATATTGATGACATGAGCTATCTCCATACATAGGCATAAAGTCCAGATTTGGGCTTAGTAATGATGACATCAAGGATCTCCTTTATATAGGCATAAAGAGGAGTCCTACTTCTTGGTCAGTGATGACATCAGGGATCTCCATATATGGACATAAAGGGGAGTCCTACATCTTGGTCAATGAGTCAGAGTGATTTCTGAACAGTGATCTGACAGTGATGTCTTAACAGTCCAACATCTTGGTCAGTGATGTCAGAACAATTAGACAGACATCACGCTGAGTGATGTCAGAGTGTCATCACGAGTGCGATAGACTAACACGACAGGCACGGACAAGAGGTTTATAACAACTTGTCAAAACATACGGGTTAAAATTTCTTTTTAAATGCCTGTCATCATCCTAGTGTGGGGCTATTTTCCATTATTTAAAAATCAGTTTCTATGCTAACCCTTTCCTCTTAGTTCACCTTACTGCTGCAAGTTGAGTACCCAAAGATGAAGAATCTCACTGGAGGCTACTACCTCTATAAGGCTACAGGTAGTGAGAATGTGTAAACTATTATCTATTGTAATACATTGCCATATAACCTGCCCCATCATTTGAATTATCCTGACAATGTTGTTTCAGGTGGTCAGGGCAAAAGACGACTTACTGTCATCTCGCCAGACTTCAACGATGGCTACACGGCGAGTCTATCAGAAGTGCTACGGGGGGAGGGAAGAATGCTCTGTATGCAGTGCCTTTACAGTACAGCTTTGATATGACGCCTTTACCTCCAGATGCACTAGAGTTTCTCCACACTCCTGAAGAACGCTGCCAAAAGTGCAGGGTTCCTTACCCCTTGCACTTTTTGCAAGGCCACATTAGGGAGTGTAAAGAGACTTCGTCAGAGGATGACGATTATGAGGTAAGTGTCACCATGAAATATGAATTTTAATTTCCTGTCCATTGAGTCCAAAAATCTATTTAATATTTAACTGATTAATTGAAGAATTTGTTAGAGGTTTCCAATATGAAAATATACAGTTTCATGATGGTACAAATCACTGGTACACGGTCAACTAAAAGGATATTTTAGAATTTTTACTTATTAACTCAGGAACCACTATGTATCTCATGACATTGAAAGACTGATAGATAAAACACAGTACTTTCTATAGAATAATACCAATAGAGGGTATGCGCGTGATATCATCATCATACCCAGAAGTTATGCAGGAACACCTTCTTAGTGGCAAAAACTACTTTCTGGATCTTACAGTGCATAAATCCAAACAAAAAAGTCCTATCTGATTGCATTAAACAATAGCAAACTCAATTTGCCCCTCATTTTGCCACTCGATTTGCCGTTCGCTTTAAGCATATGCATACCCTCTATACGATAAGAACAGATCCTAACTACACTTGATCTTAGCCATGTGCATATCCCTGCATAACTCCATTTTCGGGAATTGACATATGTCAAGAAGAGTTTTGTGATTTTAATTATTTTGAAGGGGAATGACATGTGGTCTACCTGATCTACGTTTTGGGAACCCCTGTATTACATCTATTTAGAGTGTTCTTTCATTCATCTTAGACATCTCCAGCTGATGTTGAGATACTGTCTGTGACGGCACCCCAAGCCACTGATATGATGTCACCTCCTGTGAAGCAAGACAAGCAGAATTCTGAAGAAGTATGTGTTTCTTCACTGTTTTATGAAATGCTTGCATTAACTGTTTTGTATGGCTGGGGATGTTATTTTCAAATTGTTTTATCTCCATCAGAAAGTCGAGTGTCCTATCTGCTTCCAGAAGTTCACAGCACATCTCCTGCAGGTCCATGCTAGCGCATGTGGAGAAAGGTATTGAGATTGTGCATATTTAATTTTATAAAGATTTTTGTACTTTGCCCCTTACATCAACATGTCTCACTTGTAGCTACCTATATAAACAAGAGGAGGCTCGTAGCGAGGACATCAGTGAGATGTCTACCGTGGGCCAGAAGGAAGGAGAGGAGATTAAAACGTAATTAATTTCTAAATACATAAAGATTTTAAAAAATGTTGTCATTTACATGCCTTAATTATGAATTATGTTTTGCAGTGTTGATGATGTGTTGAACACCATCTCTAAGCGTGTTGACAGAGCGCGGGAGTTCAAAATCCTCATCTCCAGAACTAACATTCTGGAGAGAGGCCTTCTACAGTGGCAGCGCCAAAAGAAGCATTCACCTGCTTCTACTCTGAAAGTGAGTTTCATTGGGGAGGCAGGAGTGGACACAGGTGCTCTCCGGAGAGAATTTCTCACAGGTAAAACAATTACATACTTCGATTCTTATATACTGACATCTAATGTACCTATTTTAAGCTAGATCTCAAAATATTTTCCCCTCCACAGAACATGTATACATTCTGATAGACAAATACACCTAAGAAAGTCAATAAAGTATAATTAAGCAGTGAAAATAGCAGATCTACAAGCTCACAATGCAGATAATAAGATTATTAAAGTAAATTTACCCCCATTGATTCCAGATGGGGACCCGCGTCGACGCAGGTCCCCATCTGGAATCAATGGAGGTAAATTTTCCAAAATCATTTTCTGGTCCTAGGAATGCGACAGATACAAAAAAAAATACTATTGAACTCAGGTGTCGAAGGCATGAGTAATCAATAGAAAAAAAGTCATTTTGGGGGTGAACTACTCCTTTAAGTGCCCAGCAAAGACTGTTTGTTCCTCTTGGTATAGAAATGGTTGCCGGAATCAAGGGCCAGTTCTTTGAGGGACCACAAAATCAGAGGATTCCACGCTATTCTGTGACCGACTTTGACAATGGCCTATTCAGGTATGTTTTATATATATATATATATATATTCAGGTGTGTTTTTTATGGGGGGGGGGGGGGCTACAGTATGGACAAACCACTCTAAATGTTTTTCTAACAAGTAAATGTATTAATGTTCAATGTGTGTTTATAGGAGTGTCGGAGAGATTTTTGCTGTCAGCCTGTCACAAGGTGGCCCTTGTCCTGCTTGCTTCGGCCCATGGACTTACAAATACCAGTGGGCAGATAGACACAATGGATCTCAACAGTAGCGCAGTGGCAGATTTACAGTTGCGGTCCTTAATTGACAAGGTATGTCTTATCCTCTGAAAAATGGGAAAGAAAATGAAGAGGGTAGGGCATTTTGTGTCATGTTATGTTTACATAGAATATTGCTTAGGGATGATCTTTGTGTTAATGTAACATCTTTAGGTTAAGTCGTCGACTGAGGAATCAATTAATGGCCTGTCTGAAGAAATCTACAACCTTGGATTCACTGGAAATGTGTCCATTGTCCGGTATGTGCATTTCTTTTCATCTAAGAAGATATACTTGGATTTGGTTTTGTAGCTGATCTTTTTTTCCTGTTGCAGTGCCATCATACTACATGCAGTGCTGAGGTTGCAGCCCATGTTGGAACAGCTAACAGAAGGCCTGAAGCTGTTTGACCTCCTCTCACTCATCAGGAAATACCCAGACATCTGCCGGCCGCTGTTTGTTCCTGGGGAAGATATAAAAGTAAGAAAGAACAACAACCATGTTCACTTATCACAAAGTTTGGAAATTTGTTTTGTATATTATTTCACTGTTGTAACAATGCTACATGGCAATAACCTTTATACAGTTGAAAAGGTTTGGGGGGGGGGGGGTATGCCATGATGCCATAAAGCCATAAAACAAATTTCCGTGCCTAGCACAATATATTCAGATGAACTCAGGCCAGCAGGTGTGTGGGGGATATATGACCTATCCCACGGATTAGTGTATCATATGGGTATATACTAAGCCACCCAGGAACCCAACCTTGTTACCCCAGCCAACATTTTGTGTTCTATTATGAATTGAAGGATTCTATAATTAACACATTTTTCATTATAGGTTTGTCGAGTTTGTCATGTCATCCTTTAGTCCTCAACTGAATGATAAAGGGACTAACAGGCATCAAGTCGAGATGAAGATGATGGACTTCCTTCAGGACTTCCTTTATGAAGTTGAAGCCAAAGGTATATAGCTTTAGGTTTTATAAATGACTGCTTGTAAGTCTTCAAGATACCCAGATGCTACCTGTAGTTACGAGCAGGTACATTTTATGCTCCCTAAAAAAACACTTTTTAAGATGGATCTGTATAGCAACATTTTTTTAATTAGAATTTGAAGGTTTTCAGAAACCTTAGGTTTTAGAATTGGTCTCAGATCTAAATGGGTAAACTATAACTCTTATTTGTTTCATAGCTGAAAATCCGGTTTCGGAAAATGAAAACAAGGATCCTGAAGATGATGACACCGATGGCCCAAGTCCCATCACACCTGCTAGGCTTCTTCAGTGGATGACAGGCCAAGGTCATATTCCACTTCTGCCCTCTGAGAGGGAACTTTTTGCTGTTATCCTGAAGTTTAACCACGACTGCACTGCAGACTTTGGGGATCACAGTGTGTGTTACCCCATTGTGTCTGCATGTGCCAAGACCATTTCTCTGCCTGTAAGGCACATGAGCTCCTATGAGCAATTCAAAATGGTTCTAACAGAGGCTTTCCATCTTGGCCAAGAATTCAGCAAAGTGTAAAGCGTTATCTGCCTCTTTCGCAAGTTCACACTAAAACTTAAAATGTTAGATAATATGTTAAGCACCTTATTATAATTTTTTGTTTTAACGGTTCCAAAATTCAATTTGTCTGACCCATTTAGACCTGAAAAATACTGTTACCATTATTCTATGCTTTAGCCTGTTGAACAATAACAGATTTGCAAGCCCACAGTACCGCACAGTACCCTGCTGCAAGATTATTATTTTTTTAATATAAGACTTTTTTTTTTCTTTTCTTTTCTTTTCTTTTTAAAGCCAACTCTTGTATCTCAACTTCCTTTCTCGGGGTCCTGGAACAACTTATTTTGAGATGCAGGTCCAGCGTTCCAGGTCTTTGGGCTGAACATTAATTTAAAGTTACAGGGACCACAAATTAGTTGGCAAACAAAGTTCTCAGGTTTATAGTGTTTTGTCATTTCTAGGTAGCGACTGGGGATAAGGAGCGGGCCATGAAAAAGTGTTACAAATCATCACCTTAAAATATATGTTATTTTCAAAAAGCTGAATAAACTTAACAATTTGAATATTTAATAGCCGGCATTCTAGACGTCTAGATGTGCACTATTTGAGATTTGGTCAACCAAGTAAGGGCTATGTTACTATAGCACAGAGTTATGGATAGACCTATTATCATTCATCTGTCAATTCAATGTCCTTTCAGAGACATCTAGAATTCCTGCTAACAGGTACAAGAAAAGACATGGTCAATTAAGGTGATGAAATGGTGCTGTTAACATGTGCACATCACCTCTCCTTATTGAAGACTCCTAAGATGCAGGGAGTGATAGGATGGCTAAACAAACATGAAGATTGTTCTACTGCTGTTTACACTGCAGCACTTTTCCATGTGGCTGACTGCAACTTTGTCAGTCACATGTTCTACTGTTTACATGTGTTCTGTTTACATTTTGTGGACTCAATGTCAGACACAACAAATAAAATTTGTATACTTGTAAACATGTTTATGGTACGTTTTGATTACATTGCAACATTTGCATCTATGCTTCTCCTTTCTCCCTTGAGAGGTTTCTTGGTGTTCCCCAGCTAAATCATGAGTTGGTACAGTCATGGGCTATTAATAACATCTGGGAATAAACTCAAATTGGTAATGTTTGCAAAGGTGTATCTACCAAGTTTGAAATGCAGTTTCCCTAGATGACTTTGACAGCTGCAGAAAGTTGGGGTCCCATTACTTACTTTATTTAAGTAGCATGTGAGGTGTCAAACTACGGTTAATTCATCGCAATTTTATCTGCTCGATAAACACTCATTAAGCTTAACAGCCCCACAAAGTTTGCGATAAGCTGGAAAGACTATGGACCCCTCCTGTTTGAACCCTCATGCTACTTAAAAGTCAAGAGTTGACAGGTCCATTTTAAGCCAGTCAATCTAAGCCAAATAAAGGTTTTACCCAAAAGAAATTGCAATAGTAATACAATACAGTTTTTATTGGCCCTTATATCCTCCTGTATCATATATTAAAAGTTTCCCTTCGTAGGAACACTTTTTCAAGGTAAAAGCCAAGTTTGTAGATTTAAAGCGGTGTGGTCTTGGATAAATGGTGTTAAATAGTGAATGCTTTACAGTTATCCAATATAAACATTTTCTATTTTGAGGGTCAATCTTTCCAATGATTTTTGAGAGGATATGTTAATGTCTGATGCTTGTGTTTTGTTTGCCACCTTTGGCACTTACAGTTTGCCACACTGCTCAGACAGGAGTAAAATAATCTAATTATGGTGTTAAGTGTTCCTTATAGACATGGTTAAAGATAAAATGAGTAAAATGTATAAAAGTGTGTCACCCCCAGAGGTCAGATTGTGAGACTGCAACTCCTGCAACTGTAACAATATTTGGAAAAATGACAAATAGTCAGAAGCTTTGACATAAATCTTGGAATAAGTTTGAAAAGGTGTTTGATGGCAGGTGCTGAAATGTGGGGTACCCAGTTGTCTGTGGCACATTTTTGATTTACATGCCATTAAAATGTTCTTATTTTGATCATAAGACCCAATTACTGAATGTCCAGGTTTTATTCAGAATATGTATGACACTTTTTTACTACAAAATATGGCATATGAGTCCAATATTACTAGACGTTATCAATTGTTTTATTTGCAAGGACCCCCTTAACTCAGTGTGTAAATGAACACTCTCAGAGTTACAGACCTGTTATGATCATTCAAGGCTAACCTTTCATGTCTTTCTGGTAATATTATTGACTCATTTTGTATGTTGGTGGCAAATATTTAATTTTGACAAAAATGTCACCACAAGCTTACTATAGATAACTATTGAAATTTGTTACACAACTAGAGAATGTACAGTACAATATTTTTTATTTTGATCTACGTTTGCCTGTTTTCCACAAGTACATCAGGAATTGTGGACAAAGTCGTATCTAACAACAACAAAATATTACATTTTGGATGTGATGCTACATCTCAAATGGTGGTCCATGGCTCAAATACCAAATAAATAATGGACCTTGAAATAAACCTCTACTGATCTATGGCACACGGTTTAGTACATAATTCAGTACAGCTAAATAAATGTCTTTTCCATAGGACTCGGATGGTCCTGTAACTTCAATAGTTGTCGTGAGGCCTGCCATATCCTGTTCACATAGGGGACATTCAACACGGGGAAGAATGACACCAGAGCTGGTCACATCCACGTCACTGTCAGAGTTGACAGCAAGAGTTGCATCCTCTGTTCCCTATATTGAAAGAAAGCACATTTCAAAAGTACTTATAGAAATCATGTTTAAGGGAAAAAAACACTCATTTTTTATTTCAATACAATTCCTCTAAGGTATATTAAAGACAGTTCAATATTGAAAATGGGTGGTTTTACCCTTTATATAAAGGCAATTAAGGAAAGCAACTTTTGATCTACATGTTAACATACTACACTAATGCAGCAATATAGTATCTGGTCCTCTTTCTTCAATGTGGCCAAAGAAATGTTTCTTCTACAAACACCAATTATTATGTACGTTATATGCTGTACACTGTAATGGTTTTGGTTTTAAGCTTCAAATTCTTTACAATTTGTAAAACTAAAATACCCCAAATCTTTATTAATAGTGTACTGATTGTTTGCTTAGAAAAAAAAGAATACAAATTGGTACCTCTGGCAGTTGTGGAGGATGTACAGGATTGTGGAGGAGTCCCATTGTCCACAGTTGTTGGGGAGACCTGTTGTTCTCAGTCCTCAGAGGATGATGATCCCAACCAACCCTAAAGACATCCAGATCCTTCTGCAGACGTGGCAGAAAAACATGCTGGGCGCAGAACAGGTGGATGCTGTCATCGGGATCTAGCACACCTTCTTCCTCAAGGCTGTGAAGAGTGTTGTAGTAGACGTTTGTGACGCTGTTCCAAACATCTCGCCACAAACGCTCTATTCTGGGGGGCAGCAAAAAAATAAGTAAATAAATAAATAGCCTCAATTTGAACAGTATCATTTTCACCAATTATGACTCCAGTTGACTGATGCATGATCCGAATACCTTTGATTATGCACACTCTTTCCTGACATGAAAATGCCCCTGCCACAGCCCCTGATGGTGAACATACATCGTGCTATGCCAACATTCTCGACTCCCATGTCACCTCTTACTCTAAAAGAGAATATGTATCACACAAAGAAAAAAGATAAATGATTGTTAACTTTCACACTGAACTTTAACACATTTCCAATTCCAAACACAGACAGGCATTAGACAAAGGTAATACCAAATCATTCTTAAGCAGTAAGAAGCCTAAGGGCTCCATATACCGTACATGGATTTTGTTAGTGTGGTATGTGGCTGATGTGGCCTCCATATATAGGCATTCCCATATGAAGTCCTGTTAGATATGGGCTTAATATTGATGACATCATGGATCTCCATACTGGGCATAAAAGGGATTCTGCTGGTGTGGTTCCCCTGACATCACAGTGATGTCAGAACGTGATGTCGGCAGGAAAACCATTTAGACCATAGAAAATCTTACACCGACAGATGGAGACATTATGTTTCTTAAGCAGAAGATTTGTTTAATTTGGCAATTTATCGACTTAGTTTAATGACAATTAACTGATAGCATCAGCAAATGCACAAATCATTGGGCATTGACTAGCATGGTGGGTCACACATATTTGTTGAACTAACCTTAATGGGAAGCCATACTTATGCACTGCCTCCAAGAAGAAATCAAGTGAAGTGGAAGCTTTATTGTTGGCTGCTGCACCCAGGTACATGATCTGAAACAAACAATATTATAATTCAGCTGAAAGCTATGTTAATCCATGCTTTTATGCACAAGATAATTTTATTATTTGGTATAACACGGATACAGAAGACAGTATAGAGGTGCTATAGGCCCATTCCTATAAGAATGACATGTCCTATCAATAGAGGGTATGCGCGTGACATCATCAGTAGGTGCGGGAACACCTACTGAGTGGCAAAAAACTACCTTCTAGCCCTTACAGAGCATAAATCCAAACAGAAAAGTCCTATCTGATCACAATAAACAACATTAAACCCAGATAGCCACTCGTTTGCCATTCACTTTATGCATGTGCATACCCTCTATAGTAAGTTTAGCAGAGGACCTACTGTATACTTTTCAACTGTCTTCTCAGTTAATGTTTTATTAATGTTCATTTAATAATTTACCTTTCGTGAGAAGCCATCAACCCCTCCAAAGATAACAAGGCCATACCTTTTTGTTTTTGATGGGGGAAAGAGAAAAAGAGAGAGAGAATAAAATCTGTATAGAGTTGTTTGATGCAAAACAAGGGTGTCAACCTTTCTTAGGGAATAACAAATACACCAAAATAAACATCTAAAATAGCATGTAATCATTACATGCTTGACATACCTGATAAGTTTGTGGTTTGTGTCAATATGTACCAGATGAAGAGGACCTGGAACAGAATATGTCCTCCTTGCAACACACCCCATATTTGTCAGTCTTGAGAGTACC